GTGGCTGGCGCCTTAGCCACTTGAGCCACAGGCGCCGAGCCAGTTTTTTTATTTTTTTTTAAGAGACTGGGCCTCCCTCTGTTACCCAGACTGGAGTGCAGAGGCCCAATCATAGCTTCCTGCAACCTCAAACTACCCCCCACCTCATCTGCCCCTAGCTGGGACTACAGGCGAACGCCACTGCGTCCGACTTTTATTATTTTTAAAATCTTTATGTAAGTCAGGTATGATACTTAAGGGATGTTTCTTAATGTTTGTGGGTCAGTTTCCAGTCTTAAAAGAAGTGGAATTATGAAGAAGCAATTAAAAAAATACGTTTGGAGTGATTTCAGAAACGTAAAAGTAAATACAATTTTCTCATACAGTTCACCTTTCTACCAACGAAACCAAGCCCAAAACAAAGCAAAGAGAACCGCATTACTATTGTCGAGGTGTTTTGTCCCAAAGTAAGACCCGTAGCCCCTCCCTCTCCCTCTGGGAGAGACCGTTTCTATTGGACAGCCTGTGTCCGCCATGACGCAGGAAGCCCGCCTCATTGGTCCGCCCAGTCGGGACTCCGGCGGCTTTTCACCGTATCGCTCAGGGTACGCATCCGCTTCTCTTCCTCTAAGTGGGCGCTCGTTTCCTTCTGTTGCCCGGAGCTGCTAGCCTAAAGGGATCCAGACCGAGCTAGGCCGGGTAACTGCGTTGGGGTTAGCCGGGAAGAAGCAGCGGCCAGGGACCACTAGGTGGGAGGGTGGTTAGTGAGCCTGTGTAGTAAAACTGCCCGGTCTTCGTGCCTCATCGAGCCGTACAACCTCACCGATTTCTGTGCCCCGCCTCCTGCGCTGGCTCCACCTTCTCTCGCTGCTCCTGACTCCCCCCCAAATTCCGCGCCCCCCTCTGCGGCTCTTCCGGGGGCGCTGCCCTCGCTGTCCGCGCCTCCCTACCTCCGCGGCCCCGCCCTGGCGAGCGCGCCTCCTTCCTTTCTCTTCGTCACCTATGCGCCCCTGTTAGCCCATCCCTGGCATCTCTAAGACCTTTTACATTTCGTTCTGCCCCTCCCTGGTCCCTCTATCATTCTTTCAGTTAGCCTTCTCTCCTTTAGCACTCCTCTCCGCCACTGACTGCCGGGATCCCAGGATTCTCCCACCGATCCGGGCCGCCTGTTTGTGGATTTTGCAGATTGTGCGGAGACGTTGTGCTGGGCACTGGGCAGGGAGATGAACTATTGGAGGTCCCTGATTTCAAGCGCTCCCTCCACTATGGGAAAGAATCTCTTAGTGAAGGAATATAACAGGCCTAGTGATAAATCTTTAACGAAGGCAGCATATTATTGGGGTTAGGATGTTAAGAGGAAGGAGTACTAGAGGGGTTTTTGTTTTGTTTTGCTTTTATTTATTTTCTCATTACTGCTGGATTTTCAAGCAGGCCTGTCAGGGGTTAAGCTCCACCTTTTCTCCAAAATGTCCCTGGCTGCTTCTCCTGCAGAAAGAAGCCTGCCCTAACTGTGGCCTTGCAGACCCTTGAGAATTATTATATCTTGGTATGTATGGAGTATGGGCTTTGCTTTTAACCATTCAGTATTCGTAGGGCTTCAGAGACCATACGAGCCCTCATTGTGCTGACTAGGAGGTTGAAGGTGAGAGACAGATGAATGATTGCCTGGACACATACATGATTCAGCTCATGCTCTTGATGCTTCTCTTTAGAGTTTTTCTCGAGGATTCTCACTCAATTTTTCAACCAGCAGTCTTAGTTGGTAGGAAAACTAAAAGTTAGCATGGATAAAACCACTAGTCAATAAAATAGATTCCTCTGAGCCAGTGCATTAGTACAAGTATACGTTAGTCAAAAGAAGTAATTCATACCTCAGGTTTTTGGAGTCAGGCATCCTTGAAGTCTGGCCTCAACTCCATCATTTGCTGTGAAGTTTGGCAAAGAAACTTCCTGTATCTGAGCTTCAGTTTTACTTTCTTTTAAAAGAGAAAGATAAGCCCTAAGACACAGAGTCATTGCAGGGATTTGCTGAGATTCTGTTTATGAAGAAATATCAGTTTTAGGTTCCTGTACATTATAGGATCTTGCACAAATGAGCCTCCCCTGTGTCAGATTCATGGATCTTTTTAGCTCAAGTCAGTAAGTAAGCTGGTTTGTTGCCCTTTTTCAGGCACCATGACGACTCTGGATGATAAGTTGCTGGGAGAGAAACTACAGTACTACTACAGCAGCAGTGAGGATGAGGACAGCGATCATGAGGACAAGGATGGAGGCAGAGGTGCTCCAGCCAGCGGTTCCATGCCTGCAGAGGCTGAGCTGGCAGGTGAAGGCATCACAGTTAACACAGGTACTGGAAAAACCTGAGCTCTGGGAACAGGTTTAAAAACTGTTTGTTAAATAGGAAGGACTTAGAAGTCTCCAGATCAATTCTAACTCCAGTCTCACTTCCAGAGATAACTCACTCTTACTTCATTGTGATGCTTCTAGCCTTTTCACTGCACAGTACAAATGTGTGTGCATAGCAGCATGGTAATGAACACATACTGACCTGGGTTTGAATCCTGCATCTGGAATTAATAGTTGTTTGATATCCCATAAATCACAGGTGTGAGTACATTTATGATATAACTTCCTATAAATGGCACTTTACGTTTTAGTATTTTCAAAAGCACTAATTTGTAGTTTAATTAATTTTTTTTTTTTTT